ATACCATTTAGGATAATAAGTTCGAATAACAAAGTTATAGTTATTAATAATAATAAAAAATATATATACATAAAATACAAAAAAAATAATACCGATGATGACAATGTGAAAAATTAAGAATGAAATATTAAAACCAAAAAAAACGAATATGAACATGAATACAAAATAGTGAAATGAAAATAAAAAAAAATAATAAAAAGAAAATTATAAACCAAATTAATGAGAATTTGTTTTTTTTATTGGGAAACTATCGATATGTTGGGAGATATTGTCTCAAAAGGACAAACCTTGGGACGTTTGCTGCATCATTTACCACTTTGAGTATATTCATCTAACAGAAGTCGTATGTGTCAGTCTCGTTTCCTACTGCCTGCTACAAACATATATATATCCTGTGCCAGAAAAAAAAATTGGTTCAAGAACCTCAAAACCTGGGGGCTACCAGAAAAAATTGACCACTATTTATATTGTGCTACCTAAAAGATCTACGGGCCTATCTCCGTCGACGGTGAATACCAAAAATTTGGGGTACCGTTATATGAACCAGAAAAACGAGCTTTACAATTTTATACGTGACATCGACATAGTCAGAATTCGTATTGAGCTGCAGCGACTACGGTGGCTAGGCCATGTTGTGAACACGGATTTGCAAATGAAAATGCCCCAGGTCAAAAGGCATATAAAAATGAGCCTACAAAGTACCAAATTTGGTTCCCGTAGAAGGGGAAGGCCACGAAAAAATTAGATGGTAGAGAGGAAAGACCAAAGTAAAAAAGAAAACAACATCTTGGAACGTGGTCTTCCAAATTGGTGGACTTGCGCACAAGACCGACGCGCTTGGAAATCTTTTTTAAGCTCGGCTTATGGAACAACCGTTCTGTAACAAGCCAGCTAATTAAGTAAGTATTTAAATGTGAACCGATTTCTACAAAACTTAGCAGACGTTATTCTAGACTCAATACAATACGCGATATGTAAATCAAATTTATATAAAATCGGACGAAAATATATATGGGAGCTATATCTAAATCTGAACAGATTTCTCCAAAATTGAACACACATTATTATAGACTCATTTCAATATGATATGTAAAATTTCGCACTGATGCACTATTCTCATAAAATCGGACGAAAATATTTATATATATGGGAGTTATATTTATATCTGAACCGATTTCCATGAAACTTAACACACACTTTCCTAGACTCAATTTAATACGTTATTCCAAATTTTGTCTCAATCGGTCACACCGTGGGTGTTTGGTGCCCCATTTACATAAAATCGGACGAACATATATATGGGAGCTATATCTGAATCTGAACCGATTATTATGAAACTTAACACACTATATCCTAGACTCAATTCAATACGTTATTCCAAATTTTGTCTCCATTTACACAAAATCACCATTTACACAAAATCAGACGAAAATGGGAGCTATATCTAAATCTGAACCGATCAGAATTACAAAACTTAACACAAATTATTCTAGTCTCAATTCAGTACGATATGTAAAATTTAGTTTACGAGTTTATGTAAAATTTAGTTTACGAAAATGGAAGCTATACCTAAATCTGAACCAATTTCTGCAAAATCTAACACACATCAGACTATTCTAATATCAGTAGGTTCTTTGCAAAATGTTGTGTGAATCGGCAAAATTTTGGGTCTTTGGTGTACAATTTACCTAAAATCGAACGAAAATATATAAAAGAGCTATATCTAAATCTGAACCGATTTGCACCAATGTCAATGGGTTTCATCCTTGGGCAAAAAATGGTCCTGTGCTCAATTTCATCCAATTCGGATAATAAAATTTGTTTAGGACCTTGAGCATAGGGAAAATGGTGAAACATTGACTTTTATTAAAAATGTTCTATGAAGAAGTTATTCGAGATCTTGATGGTTAAAGATCTCAAAATGCCAAATTACAACAACTCATTAATGGCAAAATATAGCCACTACGGTTCTCTGCAAAAAGTAAAATGTCTTTAAAATCCATAATGACCTCCACCCTGTCACGTCATAGATAAATTGACTGCATTACCATTGAAACTGTGCTACCGTTATCTATCATTCAATACGCCATCTATAGGCGGATGGTAACAATTTATTATAAAAATTTTAATTAGTAAAGAACGTAACGTGAAACTTGATTTTGAAGAAATTTGAAAAAAAAATTGTCGAAAACAATAAAAACCAGCAAGGAAAGTAGTACAGTCGGACTGGGCCGACTATATTATACCCTTCACCACTTGGGTACATTGTACATATGTATCCTTACAATTGTATGTCAATGATCCCTCGAAGGAACATACTCATGTCTTTCTTCAACCTATGATAAATTTAATTTAATTCGGGCAGATTTAGAGTGGTCTGCGTGCCATGAAAAATGATTTATAGCAAAATACACACTATTCGGTACACACTATTCAATACGCCGCACTGTTAAAAATTTAATCTCAACCGGACACCCGTTCGAAATACATATGGAAGCTTTGGCTGCAATTTCAACAAAACCCAATAACATTATTCAAGTCTCAATTTGATACGCTGTGCAAAATTTCGTATTAATCGGACAAACATTAGGAGTTTGGTGCACCATTTATGTAAAATCGGACGAAAATATATATGGGGGCCATATGTAAATCTACATGGATCTTCACGACCCATTTCGTTCAAATCGAAACGTTTTTGGGGACTTTGGTGCACCAATTGTCTTAAATCGGACAAAAATATATATGGGAGCTATATATAAATCTGAACTGATTTTAATGAAACTTAGCACACATAATTCTAGACTTAATTATGTACGCTATGACAAATTTCGTGCAAATCGAAAGATAATTAGGGACTTTGGTGCACCATTTACCTAAAATTGGGCGAAACTATATACCGGAGCTATATCTAAATCTGAACTGATTTTCATAAAAATTAGCACACATTACTATAGACGCAATTTAGTACGCTATGCCAAATTTCGTTCAAATCGAAAGATATTTAGGGACTTTGGTGCAGCATTTACATTAAATCGAACGAAATTATATGTGGGACCTATATCTAAATCTGTGCCGATTTTTACGAAATTTAGCACACATTATTATACGCTCAACTCAGTACGCTAGGAAACATTTCGTGCAAATCGAAAGATATTTAGGGACTTTGGTGCACCATTTACCTAAAATCGGGCAAAACTATATATGGGAGCTCTATCTAAATCTGAACCGATTTTCATGAAACTTAGCACACATTACTCTGGACCTAATTCAGTACGTTGTGCCAAATTTCGTGTAAATCGAAAGATATATTTACCTTAAATCGGATGAAAATATATATGGGAGGTATATACAAATATGACCCGATTTTCTCGAAACTTGACACACGTCATTCTAGACGTAATTCAGTACAATATGCTAAATTTCGCGCCAATCGAAAGATATATGGGAACTTTTGTGCCCCTTTTACCTTAAATCGGGCGAAACAATATATGGGAGCAATATCCAAATCTGAACCGATTTTCACCAAACTAAACACATCATTATGGACTCAATTCAGTGCACAATGCAAAATTTCGTGCAAATCGGAGTTTGGTGCACCATTTATGTAAAATCGGACGAAAATATATATGGGGGCAATATGTAAATCTACATGGATCTTCACGACCCATTTCGTGCAAATAGAAAGGTATTTGGGGGCTTTGGTGGACCAATTGTCTTAAATCGGACGAAAATATATATGGGAGCTATATTTAAATCTGAACCGATTTTCATGAAACTTGGCACACATCATTCTTGACCTAGTTCAGTATTTATGCCAAATTTTGTCCAAACCGATTTTCCCCAATTTCAATAGGGTTCGTCCTTGGGCCAAATAAGTGACTTGTGCCAAATTTCATCCAAATCGGATTATAAATGCGACCTGTACTTTGTTAACAAAAATACATGGACAGAAGGACATGCTTATATCGACTCAGAAAGTGATTCTATGCATATTCTCAAAAGGAACCATGGGTCTATATCGATTATTTTTGCCTGTTACAAACATATGCACAAAGAGATAATACCCTGTACCACAGTGTGGTGAAGGGTATAACAATGCAATTGTTGGCTATTGACCGCTAGATGTCTCTGTAATACAGCCGATAATGGCGTGCAAATGATACAACCAACCGATACAACAGTATAAAGAAAATATTTAAAATTTAAAATTCTAATTAAATTGATTTTTTTTTTTTGAAAATTCTAATTAGATATTTTTTTAGGAAAAGGTATAAACAATTTTTTTATAACTTACCTTACAGTACGTTTACATTTAACCGGATTTCGTTAACCCAGTGGGTTTCAATTGTCATTTCCTTTGCATATATGTCAAATAAATCCTCATTAAGTAGGTTAACCCGGTAAAAAGTTCTAATGTACAAGGAGTTTTAAATCGATTTAAGTAAAACAATGACTCTATTTTTAAGGTTGCTTTATAAAAATACATATTATTGTATGTTTTGTTGTTTTATTGTATTATTTAAGCGAACAAATTAAAATAATAATTGAAAACAATGATAACAAAAAAAGAGTCTAGAATTTGTATTTTTAAATATTGTAACAAATACAATTTAAATATTTTTACGCTTATTTACACTGAAATAGAGAAATTAAATGAAGAATAAATTATTTGTTTTGAATTCTTGTTATTTTTTGTATTTTTTTTTATTATATTTTGGAAAAATATTGTCATTATATCTTGAGAGAATTATTACAGCATTTCTATTTGTATAGATAGATGTTTTTATATAAAAAATTGACAATGTTATTAAAAGGGTATTTGGGTATAGAGGGGGTGTGGTTTTGTAAGCTTATAAAATCTTTGTTTTATACAATTTTTTTATTTATTTATTTTCTATTTAAAAAAATCAAAAAAAAAAAAAATAATTGGCCTCAGTAGTTGTGTAGAAAATAGTGAGTTTGTTTTTTTTTTCGTTTCGTTCATTATTTCCACTTTGGCGGCTACTGCTATTGCTGGACAATGGGTGTGGCTGTGTTGACATTCGTTGTTGGGACACCACCACCACCTCCACGTTGTTTGTTAAGCTCCTCGGCCGATATGAATTCAATGGCGGCTGAATTGATGCAGTAACGTTTACGTGTTGGCTTTGGTCCATCCTCGAAAACGTGACCCATGTGGGCATTGCAACGGGCGCAGCGTACTTCTGTGCGTATGCGTTCTGGATGTTTAATTAGTAGTAAAATATTACCCCCTTTTAGTATTGCATTTTTTTTGGTAAATTTAGCAAAGATTTTTGGTTTTTTTTGTTTTTAATTGCATATATAGTTAATTATATTATAGCGTTTTTTTGTTTGTTTTTGGAATTATTGATTTGCAAGAAAAAAATTGTTTTTGTTTTATTTTTTTTACAATATTGTTTTGCGCACAGTGGTGAGAAGAGCAGAGTATAAAATTAATTATTTTTATAATTAAAAAATAATTTGTTTTGCACAAATATTTAGAGCGTGATAGAAAAAAAAACGATTTGCGATTTGGGTTTATGTTGATATTGGTTTTGGATTAGTTTCGACATAAAAACAAATAAAGTTTTTTTTTAATATTATAAGAAACAACAGAAAAGAACAACAATTGCAAAATGATTGAGAATAATTGGAGTAAAAAAGAAACATAAAAAAATAGGAAACAGAAAATGAAGAAACGGCAAAACCCACAGAGGAGTTTTAGGGTAAAGAGGAAGTGGCAAACACAATGAAAACCAAGTGGAAAAATATAAAATCAAACGAAAAATAAAATGAAAATATAAAAAAGTAAAAAAAAATAAAAATATAAAAAATTAAATTAGAAAAAAATAAAAAATATAAAAAATATAAAAAATTAAAAAATATAAAAATTAAATAGAAAAAAAAAAAATTAAAAAAATATTAATGCATATAAAATATAAAAAAAATATAAAATATAAATGAAAATATAAAAAATATATAATATAATATAATATAAAATAATATAAATATAATATATAAATATAATATAAATAGAAAAATAAAAAAATAAAAATAAAAATTTAACAAAAAATTAAAAAATTAAAAAAAAAAAATAAAAAAATTAAAAAAAATAATAAAAAAATTAAAAATATAAATAATTATATATAAAAATAAAAAATATAATAGAAAAAAATATAAAAGAAAATAAAAATAGAATAGAAAAATATAAAAGGAGAAATAAAAAAATTAAACGAAAAATAAAATGAAAATATAAAAAAAAGTAAAAAAATAAAAATTTAAAAGAATACATTAATTAAATATAAAAAATAAAAATAGAAAACAAAATATAAAGAAAAAATAAAAATAGAAAAAAAATTGAAAAAAAAAATAATAAAAATATTCATGAATATAAAAAAAATAGAAAATATGAAAATAAATAAAAATAGAAAATATAAAAATTAAATAGAATAGAAAAAAATTAAAAAAATAAAGAAAATAAAAATTAAAAAAAATATAAATTAATTATACATAAAAAATATAGAAAAAATATAAAAGAAAATAAAAATATAAAGAAAATAAAAATAGAGAAAAATATAAAAGGAGAAATAAAAAAATTAAAGGAAAAATATAATGAAAATATAAAAAAGTAAAAAAATAAAAAAAAATTAAAATTTAAAAGAATACATTAATTAAATATAAAAAATATTTAGAAAACAAAATATAAAGGAAAACAAAAATAGAATAGAAAAATATGAAAGGAAATAAAATAGAATAGAAAATATAAAAATACCGAAAAAATTATTAAAAATAAAAATATTCATGAATATATATGATTGAAAAATAGAAAACAAAAATATAAAGGAAAACAAAAATAGAATAGAAAATATAAATAGAAAAACATGCAAGGAAATCAAAATAGAATAGAAAAAATAAAAATACCGAAAAAAATATTAAAAAATAAAAATATTCATGAATATAAATATATAATATATAAAAAGATATAAAAAATATTTTTTATAATATAAAAATATCAAAAAAATAATAATAAACAATTACGGTTTATTAATATTATAAATAATAATAATTTTCATTTAAAAATATCCAATGTATTTTTTTAATAAATAAAAAACACAATTATTAAATAAAATTAAATATTAAATAAAATAAAGAAATTTTTTTCAATTAAATAAATAATTAAAAATGTAGATTATAATATAATAATAATATTTTAATATAATAAAATATTTAAATATTAAATATAATAATAATATTTTAAATAAAAAAATATATTATTTTGTATAAATATAATTGAATTAATAATATAATAAAAAAAAATAAAATCATAATTTTAAAAATTATTTTTTTATTTATAAAATAAAAAAATATTTTTTATAAAAATAATACAAAAATAATTTTTTTAAGAAATAAAAAAATAAAAATTAAAAACAAAAAAGTGAGATATAAAAAATCATAAAAGGAGTGTCATATAAGAAATAAAAAAAATTGCCATAAAATCAACCAAGCCAAGAGTGAAGTGAAATTATGAAGGGTGAGCGAAAAGATGAAGAGTGAATAAAAAAGTGAGAAATGAAATGTGAACACCAGCAGTCAGTCAGTGAGTGAAGTGATGTGAAAGCAACAAAAGAAATAAATAAATTCACAACATATCAAGGAATTAATTATATATATATTGTACATAAAATAAATGAGATCAATTAGTTTTATGTGTGAATTAAATGAAATATTTTTATGTAATGATAAAAAAATCAAGTTAGAAAAATTATTAATGATGAGCAGTTAAGGCATCATTTTACAAAAAATTGAATTCAAACAGTTTTATAAAAATTTAAAGCAAATTACAATTTCGTTAGATGGTATTGCACATTATAATTATTTATATTTCGTTTAAAAGCCAAAATGGAATGCGATGATATAGCAGCATTGATTATATATTGTCATAAAAGTATATTTTTTACATTAATATTAAATTTGCCAAGTTGTTGTTTTTTATTTTTAATTTTTGCAGATGTTGGGAATTTATGTAGTAGCATGGTTCATGGTTCATTTTTTGGTTGTTGATGTTTATTTTTTTGAGAGTGTGTGAGTTGTTGTGGTTGTTTTTGGTTATATACCCCCCAGCATATATGTAGTATGTAAAACAGGCACATTTATATAAAAAGCAAGAAAAAAAGAAATAGAAAAATACACAAAAAAATAATTTATTATTTATCTTGTCTGTTTTGGAGTATGTTTATATATATTTGTTGTATTTTAATTTTAATTTTCTTATAAAGATTCCTAAGTCTAAAAAATAAAATTTTCAAAACGAAAATTAAAAAAAAACACAATTCAAGAGCCCTTTGGTAGTAACAAAGGCAATAATACAAAGATAGAGACGGAGAGGGAGTGAAAATAAATAAATAACAACATCAAAGCAAATTAAAACAAAAATAACCAACCATTTAACAGAAAAAAATTCAGCCAAAACTTTGTTTGATATGTGTCTATTGAGATGTTTTATTTTCTCGTTGAACTTTGTATAAAAACTACTAGGTTTTGTTTCAAATTTGTTGTTTTTTTACAGCAATTAAGCGCAATTAGCCAATGGTAATAAGTAGAATACCACCAAAAAATATTCATTTCAAAAATTGTTGAAAAACCAATTCCTGAAAGGCTTTAAACTCAAGTACTAAACTTGGTATCACAAACAAATCAAACACGCTATAGGGGGTGCATTCCGACCATAGATAAAATATGTTTATTTAGGAGTAATTCGTTGTGACATATAAACGTCTAATAATTTATTATTATTTCAAAATTCGTATATCTATGAAAGGAATTTCACAACCCTTATTGTATCAACATTTTTTGTTAAAGACCTTGAAGAGATTTTGAAATTATTAATATCGTTGCCTAACTATTAGAAGACATCTTAGATGGATCATTGAAGAACATAGGATCACTTTTATATATTTTAGAAACCTTAAGAACAGTAGAAAAGTCTGACAGACCCCCATTCACCATCATAAATCGGATAAAAATATATATGGGAGCTATGTCTAAATCTGAACCGATTTCAACCAAACTTCGCATACATCAATCTGTACTTAGTTCAGTACGATGTGCAAAATATTGTCGCATTCAGACAATCGTTGGGTCTTTGGTTCACCATTAACAAAAAATCGGACGAAAATAAATGTGGGAGCTATATGTAAATCTGAACAGATTTAAATCAAATTTCACATACGTCAATCTGTACTTAATTCAGTACGATGTGCAAAATATTGTCACAATCGTACAAACCTTGGGAGTTTGGTACACAATTTACATAAAATCGGTCGAAAATATGGGAGCTATATCTTAATCTGAACAGATTTCAACTAATGTTAGCATACCCCATGCAAGACCGATTCAAGATGGAAGAAGGTACAGACTGGCGTTTACTGTGGCTAGGCCTTGGGCTTACATACAAGCTGGATAGCAACTGTAGTGTTTGCCAAGCTGAAATCTTCACTATTTGAAAGGCAGCTGAATTAATAAAAAGTCTGGATACAGGGATCTTTGAAACGGTGACTATCTTTGTGGATTGTCAAGCAGCTTTTTAAGCTGTAATATCTAATCTATCGGCTGTGTTGGGTACCAGGACACCGTGACATCATGAGTAATGAAAACGCAGACGAATTAGCTAGACGAGGATCTCAATCTACAGATCTAGCAATCGATTGCTCAAACAAACCACCCATGTGTCATTTTCTTCGGAACTTTGAGGCGTTCTTCGACGAACGAGCCAATGAACTCTGGTACAACAAACCTCCAATGTGTTAAGATCTGTCTGGCCAAATCTGTCAACCAAGAGAACAATCTCACTGTTGAACCTGAGCAAAGCTGAAATTAGAGTAATGACAGGAAGCATTACTGGTCATTACAATATCAGGGCCTTTACCAGTAAATGCGACCATGATGCTACTGATTACTGTAGACTTTGTGCTGACTTTGAGGAGGAGATGGAGACAATTGAGCATCTCCTGTGTCGCTGTCCAATTTTGGCCTACAGACGGCACAGACTAGTGGGTACTCACTTTCCACTGTCTATTCTTTCTATGGAACCTGCTTTTCAACTATGGAACCTGCTTTAATCTACAACTTCATTAGAAACCTAAAGTGGTTAGGAAAGTGCAACCTTTGCAATTTCTATAGCCATCGAAACTATTTCCAGCTTCCTCCTAATACTTCTTGTTAGCTTCTTATCCTTATTACGTTTTGCAAACTTTCGTAATAATCGACCATATTTTGAGTCTTTGGTGCTAAAATATATAAGGGAGCTATATATAAATATGATCCGATTTTTCACAATTTCAATAAGGGCTTTTTCTTTGGGCCAACTAAAATATACTTATTAATTTTTAAATTTCTTTACAGTTACATGTGACACATACTGCATCGATGTTCCGTATATAAAAATACAAATTATTCTAGAATATTCTGTACTACTATTCAAACCTATTCATGTTTCTCATCAAAACCTATTTATATAAATCGATATTTACGATGAACAGACCTCCTGATCGAACTTTTAAAATGTGGGAAATGCATTAATAGAATTCTAGAATCATATTTATATAAATCGATATTTACGGATGACAGACCTCCTCATCGAACTTTTGATATATGTGTTGGAAATGCATTTATAACTTATATAAACTATGTAGGCCTTTTCTTATGAACGGGAAATTCCAACGTGAAGTCTTCTATCCTTCTATTTATAGGAAATCTTCATCTGAAAAATACAGACTATTAATAGGATTTTATAAATTTTTAAAGAAGTCTACAAAAGTCATTTAAAGATACATGTCACCTTCGCCTCCTTGTTATATAGATTATTTGGTATTATCAATAAAAGGGGTTTGGGAAATATTTTCTTATTTTGAAAATTCTCAAATAAACTATTTATGGGACTTTTGATCCATTGAGATGTCTTCTAGTCAAATAATGTTTTGTATTCTTTTCGCAAATCTGAAAATAAATCATTTATTAGCAGATATAACTTAATCATAATAATTTTTTAAATGATATTGAAGCCCCTTAACTCCTCCTAGGAACTACAGATATTATCTAGAAAATGAAAATTAAATTTAATACACATTCGTTTATTTTTTCAGTTAGTATTCCAGCTTATTACCAATGAAAATGAGCTAAGAGTTATGAGAGAGACGTTTATGCTTAGCATGGCACCAACAACAAACAAAATGGGAAACGAAAGCCACATGTATGTAGATGAGAAACCATCAAAACTAAAGTCAATGGATGAATGCATGAATGTTAGAAATGAAAATGAGTTTTGGAAGGATTGGTATGGCAAACAATTGATTATCACAAAATGACAACAGCAATATGAGTGAAATAAAACAAAACAATTCAAATCCTTGTTTTTTATTATATATATCAGACTTGGGCGCATATATAAAGCACTCGGTTCAAACAATTTCTAGTTTCAATATACATATATATAAATGTATACAACACTTGCATTATCTTAATTTTTGTTTTTCTCGCTCTCTAACAAACATAGAGTAAATAGTAATACATAACATATATATTTTTTGTTTTCCTTTCAATCTCAATGATGCAAAACCAGATAATTAATAGAAATAATCTCGCGTTAAAGGAATTTATTTTTTTGAAGATGATGATTGATTTGTATTGGAACCACCAGTAGTAGCTTGTTTTTGCCCTGCTGTATTGGTGTGACAATTTGCATTTGGCCCTGTTGATGATGGTGACGAGGACGACTTTGTGGCAGCAGAAGAAGACGATGACGACGACGATGCTGTTGAGGAGGAATTTGCTTGTGGTGGCTTGTACGGCACAAAGTCAATAGAAGCCGAATTGATGCAATAGCGCAGATATTTAGGCGCGGGACCATCATCAAAAACATGACCCATATGAGCACTGCATTTGGAACAACGCACCTCGGTGCGTACCATGCCTAGCATTTTTGAAATGACTACTATTGTTTTAAAACAGTTTTTTTTTTATTTCAAAGCAAAAAAAATTATATTTTAAAGGAAATTTAAAATTAAAATAAAAAATAAAAAAAATTATAAAGAAAAACCAAAAAAAATATAGAAACCAAACAAAAAAATGCCATAATTTTTGTTTTTTATTGTTTTTCAGATACAAGAAAATTAGAAAAAAGGGTAAAGAAGAAAAGTTGTTTATTCAATATTAGAAGTGATGATCATCAATTCGGTTTATAAAGAAAATTTACTACTCGTTATTATTATTGATAGTATTTGAAATTATGTTTGGTTTTTCATTACAATCAACAATCATGGTTAGTACAAACAACACAAACACAGTACTACACTAGAGGTTAGTTTAATTTTCTTTTCTGGATTTTCACAAAAAAGAAACACAATACACACAAATGGAGGAAGAGAATTAACAAAAAAAAAAAAGTTCTCAACACTACAACCTATAGCAGGAAAGAATTGCAAACATTTTGAAAAATATTTCTTTTAACATTCCTTAATATTTCCGAACAGAAAAAACGTAAGCTAAAGCTGAAGTAGAACGAACACTAGTTGAACTCTTAATAGAAACATAACTCTACAAAGACCTAAATGAAGAGACAGACAACAACAAACAAAAACAGAAAACAAAAAACATTTCGAGTAAACATTGGGTAAATTCGAACAAAAACATTTTGCAAATTATTGTTTCTTCTTTTTGGTTTGGATTTTTTTTTGGATAACGATATTAACAAGGTAACTAAAATTGGGCAAAACAAAATTGAAAACATATTTTCATTTTTTTACATTTTATCACAGTGGTTTCAAATCAAAATAATGGGTAAAGATAAACGAGAGAACCGTTTATCGGCTATTGAAAGCACTATAGTAAATATTAATAATATTATTATTTACAAAAATAAAACTTCTGGACATTTAAAATTATCTAAAACCGTTCGGGACTCTTATAATGGGGACATATCACGATAAATTGCCTTCGTATCGAGGCTATGTAGAGACATTTCTGGGAGTATCTATAGGACTATATTTACCATTTGAATTAGACATCTGTCAAAATAAGTTGTAAAACCCATTTTTTTTCTTTTCAGTTAAAAGTCTAAAATTCACGAAAATGGATCTCTTTACTATCCGCAACGCATACAAAATATCAAAACGTACTGCAAAATTGTGATTCTGCCACAGTTACATATCGAACTTTAAGGGGAGATTATGGTTTTGCATAAACGTCCAACTGCGCGTATTTTAATTAACAAAATTATTGTTTTTGGGGTTCTGAGAATTCTCAAGTAATTGAAGAGTGGCCATTACATACAGAAAAAGTCACATTTTTTTCTCTTTCCTCCTAGAGCGTTATTGGACCTTACTTCTTTCAAAAGTCTATTAAGAATCCTTGTAAGTTATTTCTAAAAGAAATCCCCCTTATTTTGATTTGAAACCACTGTGCATTGTTTTTTACTATTATACTCTAAAGAAAAAAAGCTATAACTTTAATAAAATAAAAATTATAATATAAAAAAATTATAAAACAAACCTCAATATGTCCAATATTTTTTAACATATATACAAACTCAAAAATAAAAAAAAAACGTTGTAACAAACTTTAGAGTATATATATAGAAATACATACATATTTGCTTCGCTACATACCTGGTATACTGGCATCACGATGTAATGTAACTTTGCCTTTATCTAAGACATCATTGAATGCAGGCCAACCACAACCAGAATCATATTTTGTATCCGAACTAAATAAATCCTGATGACAGACTATACACTGATAGATACCCTTTTCATAGTGTTTGTTGTAACAACCTGTAAGGAAGAAAAAAGAATCGATTTTAATTGAAAGAAGGTTTAATTCCATTTGAAAATTTTTTATACGAATGTTAAGATATTGAGTACTTCGAAGGATTCGGGGGATATTAGACTTTGAACGAATTTCAACGAAGCATAGCACACATTAGATTCAGTACGCTATGCAAATTTTCGAGTAATTTGAAAGACATTTAGGGACTCTGGTGTATTATTTACATAAAATCGTACGAAAATATATATGGGAGCTATATCTAAATCTGAACTTTCCAGACTTAAATTATTACGCAATACACAATTTTGTGAAAATCGAACGAAATATAGGGGCTTTGGTGCAGCATTTAAATAAAATCGTACGAAAATATATATGAGAGCCATATCTAAATCTGATCCGATTTTCATGAAACTTGACATCATTATAGACTCAATTCAGTCCGGTATGCAAAATTTCGTGTAAATCGAAAGAAATTTAAGAAATTTATATATGACAGCTATATCTAAATTTTAACCGATTTTCACGAAACTTAGCACACATCATTCTAGACTTAAATTATTACGCTATGCACAATTTTGTGTAAATCGAACGAAATATAGAGGCTTTGATGAACCATTTACATAAAATCGGACGAATATATATATGGGAGCTATATCTATATCTATGGGAGCTATATCTAATTCGGAACCGATTTTCACGAAACTTAGCACTCATCATTCTAGATTCATTTTAATGAGCTATGCACAATTTTGGGCATGCTCGACTCAAAAAGTGATTCTATGCACATTCTGAAAAGTAACCCCTTTGGCCAGTTAAAAGAATAGTACCACAGTGTGATGAATATAACAACTCGTTACCAATATAACAACTCGTTATATATAAAGAAGATCAAGGTGATCAAAAGGTGTATACTAATTTGAATACAAATTAGTTTTATTCCACTGAAGCTACATTAGCATTCAAAACAATTGTCTTAAAAAATAAACCATAATGAATTCGCCCGAACTGGTACTGCACTTATCTAATCACATTCCATTTCAAAAAAAAAAGTATAAAAATAAAATTAACATCACAACAAACATTTGATCTAATAAAATGACATTGTTATATAATTTTATTTATTTGCTGCAATAACAAAAAACATTAGTAGTTGTGTTTACCTGTGAACGGTCTCTCGGTAGCGGCCTCTTGGGTAACTTGATATTGTAAAGGTGTCAAGCGTTTCCTGAGCTCCTCCTTATCAACGGCAACTTTTTCTGTTTTATTTTCCATGTTATTGTGGGAATCTGGAAAATAAAAATAAAAACAAGAAAACAAATTTAAAATTTTTGTTATGTAAAAAAATGGATGAGGCCAGATTTTGGCTAGACATTTAATAAGTCCATTATCATATTCTTGTGTATGACTATTGTGTGAATCTGGAAAATAAGAACAAATTTAAAATTATTGTTATGCAAAAATAACTGGTTGAGGCCCCAATCACCGTTTTTGGCTTGACATTTAAAAATGTCATCATCATATTCATCACACAATATGATCATGTACAGTCTGCATGTTTTTTTCCGTTTTTGTCTGGCATGGTAATAAATAAACTATATATCATTACTAAATGTACTTGCAATATTACGATTAGTTTATAATCTTGCACAAATTAGATAAGAAACAAAGATTAGAAAAGTTTATCAAACTCAACATGGAAATCATTTGGTAAAATCACGAACTCAACAACATTTTATACCAACAGCCAGCTAGCCACCCAGCCAGTCGGCCACTCCAAAATTGTTGTTAATCACATCCAGCCATTGAAGTTATTTATAGATAAATTAATTATCTTAATGTGTTAACTTAAGATATGAAAATCATAAGTGCATTATTAATACCAATAACCAAAGTCAATTGCCTTTGGAACCAAGGTAGAGATTTCGGATTTTCCCAAAAAAATAATAAATAAATTGCAGTTGCCTACTTCATAATTTTTTTATCTATCAAAGCACATACTCATATAGTTATGCGAAAAATCACTGAAGTGTGACCCAAATTTTCAATGCACAATATATATATGTGTGTGTGTGTGCGTGAATGCCTTGGCCATACCATTTCACCAAGATTGTCGATAAGCAGACAGTTTATTAACAGCAGCAATATTGTTTGCTGTTCACCACTAGTAGCGCTAATTAATTGCATTTTCAAAAAACAGATTGGCAATTAATCAATTCTAAAAAACATAACACACACAATTCAACAATAAATATTATATTTGAAGGAGAGTTCAAAAAATGTTAACTGCTAATCAAAAGGGAAAAGTAGTCTGTCAATGTGTAAGCATCTCTTTATTAGAGTAGCATATCGCACATATTTGAAAAAGGTTAAAGTTTAAAACAATAAAATTAAAAAAAAGTAAATGAAAAAAGCGTTAGGTTTGGTCGGGCCGAACTTTGGATACCCTACACACCATAGGTATACTGATAGATACTTGAAATGAAAATATATTGAACATAACAAACAATGGACCTATACCGACAATTCTACAAACCGATTTATGTTATCCCTTATGTACTTACTTACTTAGCTGGCTTGTGACAGAACTTTCGTTTCATAAGCCGAGCTTAAAAAAGATTTCCAAATACAAATTTCATACACAGGTTTTATTTCCGGAGGTTGGGTGGAAGCTGCTGGTTAAATGTGAAAATTGCCAGTGCAGAAAAAAATTGTATGCATAAGTCCTTGGAGGATATACTAAAAGCGGTACCAATATTGATTACATCGTGCAGGAATTACTGAACATTTGTAGTTATCATTATATGAGGTGCTATGCCTAATTGAGAAGTGATATAGCTCAATTTCGGAACTAACATTTTTGCATCACAATACGATAATTATTCAAATACCGAAAATTGGTTATATGGGGACTACCCCTAAAAGGGGAGCGAATGCTAGTTATTCTAAGGAGGGAGATTTGTTACCATATACAACTACAAAATACCAAATTACAGCTAATTCGGTTGAAAAACACGCTCAAAACCCCCAAAATACCGAAAATTTGGGGGTCTATCGGCAAAGTGGACCTATATTTATAATTTTTTGTGGAGAGATTTGCTACCCAATAAGAACCCAATGTACCAAATTTCAGCTAATTCGCCCAAAAATCCGAAAATACCGAAAATTGGAGGAAACCCTTATATGGGGCTACTGGAGAAAATAGACCTTTATTTATAATTTTAAGTTGAGTGATTTGCTACCCAATAAGAACCCAATGTAAATACAGCCAATTCGGTCGAAAAATGCGACAAAAATCCCTAAAATACCGAAAATTGGGGTTACCCTTATATGGGGGCTACCCGAAAAAATGGATCTATTTTTATAATTTTTAGTGGAGAGAATTGCTACACAATAAAAACCCAATGTACCAAATTTCAACTAAATCGTGTAAAAAACGCGCTCAAAAACCCGAAAATACCGAAAATTGGAGGGAACCCTTATATGGGGCTACTGGAGAAAATTGACCTATATTTATAGTTTAAGTTGAGTGATTTGCTACCCAATAAGAACCCAATGTACTAAAATTTCAGCAAATTCGGTTGAAAAATGCGATCAAAGGCCGCCTAAAACTGAAAATTGGCGGTACCCTTATATGGGGGCTACCGGAAAAAGTGGAACTATATGTATAATTTTTAGTTGGAAGATTTGCAACCCAATAAAAACCCAATGTACTAAATTTCAGCGAATTCGGTTAAAAAGCGCACTCAAGAACCCCTAAAATGGGGGTACTCGAAGAAATGTACCTAAATTTGTAATTTTCAGAGGAGAGAATTGCTACCCAATAAGAACCCAATGTACTCTAATTTCAGCGATTTCGGTTGAAAAATGCGCTCAAGAGCCCCAAAATACCGAAAATTTGAGGGTACTCTTCTATGGGGGCTACCGGGAAAAGTGGACCTATATGTATAATTTTTAGTAGAGATATTTGGTACTCATGAAGAACCCAATGAACCAAATTGCAGCGGATTCGGTTGTAGAACGCGATCAAGAACCCCAAAATAGCAAAAATTGGGGGTACCGTTATATGGGAGCTGTGAATATACTTGGACAGATATAGCCCATCATCGAACTTAACCTTCCTGCAGACAGAAGATGACTCTGTGCAAAATTTTGGCGATCTATCTCAATTCCTTCAGAAGATTACAACAGACGGATGGACGGACATGGCTAGATCGTTTTAGAATTTTACCCTGATCAAAATATATATACTTTATAGGGTCGGAAATGAATATTTCGATTAGATACAAACGGAATGACAAAATTAATATACCCTTCATACTATGGTGGAGGGTATAAAAATAAAAAAAAAAAGTTTCTTATCGCCAAAAGTCAAAGGTTCAGAAAAAAAACATCTTTAATTGGGAAGAATCACAAAAAAAATGGAAATGAAAACAAAATCTTCTCACTATATATAGAAGAGAAGAAGTTTAGCGGGAACGAGAACATTTTATACCCTCCAACATGAGGTGGACATTGTAAATAGCTATATCGGGTCTGTATAGAGACCACAGGACTGTCTGGAGACCAATTGGTTTGTATAGAGACCACAGGGATTTATAAAGGTCAATTGGTCTGTATAGAGACCACAGGTCTTTATAAAGGCCAGTTGGTCTGTATAGAGACCACAGGTCTTTATAAATGGCAATTTGTTTGTAGGTTTTGATTAAGGCCAATTGGTCTTTATAGTGACAACAAGCCTTCATAAAGGCCAATTGGCCAGTATAGAGACCACAGGTCTTAATAAATTCCAGTTGGTCTATATATAGACTTAAAATTTTATAAAGGTCAATTGGTCGGTATAGATACCACAGGACTTTATAAAAGCTAATTTGGTCGGTATAGCCACCGCATGTCTTTAAAAAGGCCAATTGGTCGGTATATTGGTCCTATTGGTCCTATTTCCAAATAAATTTCCCTAAATAAATAAATAAAAATTCAATAAATGTTCTGCACACACACAATATTTCTACATACATACAAATTTCCTGCAACAAATGGTCAAATGTACATAAATAGCTACTTTTTTTCCAAAATTTATAATAAACAACAATGCAATAATGAACAAATTGTGAATATCCAATTTTTTGCTTTTTATAAATGGTTGTTTGCATCATTAAACGCCAATTGAAATTTCTAGTTTGATCGCCAAACGATGGCAGCAATACACCCTTTGTGGCCACCACCGACCACCCTACCCACCAGACAATTGAGTGGGTGGAGCATACAAAAACAAAACAACAACACAACGGCACCTAAAAGAATTTCGTAACAATAAGAAGAAAAAAATGTAAACAAAAATAAATAAATGAAAATACAACAAAACAAAATTTAAAACAAATACGCATTGGATCCAATAGAGAGCACTTTTTTGAGGGCAATTACAAATTGTTTTGTTATTGTGAAATAAACAGAACACTTCACTTAGACATACCTGACGAGGAGGAGAAAAGGCGATAATGTGCTGCTGTACACTGAAATACAGAAGGTATGGCTGAGGTTGCAAAGTGCCGGCCGAATGGATACGAAGAAAAATTTTTTGAGGCCACTGAGACGACAGGAAGCAATAATAACGCAATGCGACGACGACTGCTGCCAAGAGGAAATAAGATTTGATTTATTGCCGTAGTACTTAAAGCCATCGGGCAGCCGCCAACAAATTTGGGTGTGTGACGAAAAAGTGAAAGCATTTCTTTTATTTTTTTATTCTCCCCCGTATGCTTCTTATCCAACTAGTGTAGATGTTCAAGTCTGATGACAGTTAACGAGCTGTGGTGACGTTTCTAACACGAAGATTCTCTGTGGTTGTTTGCAACAAAATATTCGTATTTTTTTTTTCAAAAAGCCACAATGATATTTGATAGGCAATTCAAAAAATACTGCACTGTACTTTTTTGTTGGTTTTGTTTTATGCCAATCAAAAGTGTTGATTATTCAACACCAACTATTTAACAACTATTAAGTGTTGCAATAGTCGCAGTAGACTACTAGGAAAACGTCACTGTGATTGGTTTTGCACAACAACTGCGGTAGGGACAAAATGTCAATGGGTATAAATGAGAGCAGCAATGCAGAGAACAATAACAACAATTGTAACCGTTTGATAAAGAGATGCAAATCACATTCTCTTCCTTAGGGAGAGAGATGTCAATGCAGCAATGCAGAAAGTGTCAAAATCATGGCAAATCAATGCATGAATGAAGGAAGGAAATAAAACAACAACAGCTAAATTGAATGAATGAATAAAAAAGAAACAACCTTTAACGGACGGACATCCCCCTCAATATAAGAAAGCTGGGAGAAAGCTAGAGAGGCCTAATACCATCTACGAAATAAATGCAGCTGTCTTTCTAAAAATGCACAACACCTTTCCGCACCACACACCACACCATAACACAACAACACCTAACGGAAATCGATTGTATTCTTATTCTAAGACTATTTTTAAACATTTTATTTTTCATATTCTTCTTCTTTTCCTTATGAATTATTCATTTACAAGAAAACAACACATACACCTCAAAGAGGAAATCTCATACAGGTATTTTCCTCAAGGTGTTGATGGCTAAATAGATTTCATAGTTTTAAACTTTTTCAAACAAGTTGTTTGGTGGCAGGCAGCAGCAGCATAGCATATTATTTTCATTAACACACACACAAATATAAATATATATACGGAATACGCAATTGCCAGCAGTTGTTTTGACTAAACTACTGTCCTTGATATTGGCACCCATTCCATTATCCAATAAAAAAATCTTATTGGATTTTCTTTCTATTACAACCTTCAAAAAATTGTTTCCATTCAGCAAATATATAGAAATTAACTCACTATTATTTTATTTCTTAATGAATTTTCTCTTGGCACTCAATCACACACACATACGTACGTACACAACAACAATATCTTTCTTATTAAATAAGGCAACGAAAATTTAATAAAAATGTTTAGTTTATTTTCCCGCAGATGTAACAACTAATAGATTTATGCCGACGACAAACTTAAAACTGCTTGCACTCTTCAATAGTAGGGATATTTAAGTCGACTTTTGACTAGACGAGAGAGATAATGTTGTTGTTGCTGTGAGCATATTACAAAGTGTTGCCAATGTTTTGTGAAAACAATGAACAGCTGTTTAAGTTTGAGTGAGTGATGATTTGTTATTAACGGATGGCAAGTGGCATAATTCCGGGAAACAAATATACTTTAGGGGCACCTTCTCAGAAAATTGTGATATTTTTACAAGGTCAGTAGCCACAGGGGCAAATTTTGTCGTAAAGTAAATTGAGTTTATGGGCGAAGGAGTTGAGATGAATAAAAGGGGGCGCAATTCTGTTTTTTTTTCTTTATTCATTGTAAAAAAGCTGAAGTTGGCTGCAGAAAAGTTTTGCATTTTCCTTCATTTTATGGTTTTTGTTGGTAAACAAACGCCAAGACAGTTGATAAAATTAAAATATGTTGCGAGGAAAAAAATCAACAAAAAATATCTCTTTATACCCTTCACCACACTGTGGTGCAGGGTATTATGTCTTTGTGCATATGTTTGTAACAGGCAAAAAGAATCGGGATAGATCCATGGTTCCTTTTGAGAATATACATAGAGTCACTTTCTGAGTCGATTTACGCATGTCCGTATATCCGTCCATATTTTTGTGAACAAAGTACAGGTCGCATTTATTATCCGATTTGGATGAAAATTGGAACAATTCACTTATTTGGCTCAAGGACGAATCCTATTGAAATAGGATTTATGTTAACCATTATGTACTTACTTACTTAGCTGGCTTAAGACAGAACTTTCGTTCCATAAGCCGAGTTTAAAAAAGATTTTAGCAGCACACATACACAGGTTCTATTTCGGGAGGTTGGGTGGAAGCTGTAATATGATTTTATGTTGATGGAGCACCAAAGCCCTTATATTTCTTTCGATTTACATGAGTTTGGCATAGCGTACTGAATTAAGTCTTAATTGATGTGTGCTAAGTTTTTTGAAAATCAGTTCAGATTTACATATACCTCCTCCATACATATACGAGATACATAGTTAGGCCGATTGACACAACGTACTGAAGTTAATATAAATTTATCTTTGTTTGAAATCGGTTCGGATATAGATATGGCATAGCTTCCATATATAATTTCGACCTATTCATATCAAATTACGTGTGACGTTTCACAAAATTTAAGAGAGCACAAAACAAAATGGTTTTCTCTTTGTAAACTTTTTACTCGAGAAATTTGATAAAATGGTAAACAGGAATGCCTACTTCTGGATGGCTTTTATGTTGATTTTGAAGTATTATTTTTATTGTTTTTATAAATCATGGCAAAGTTGTATTTTTCTATTATTGCCAAATTAATTTTTTGTATATACAGGAACACATCATATATATTAAAGTGATTTCGTGTTGCCAACTAAAGCTATAATGAAACAGCTGACCGAGCAGCTATGAGAGAAAGAAGAAGACCCTAAACAGCTGATTGCCACCACTTGGCCATTGAAATAAATAAACTGATGAATGTGAGCTACCTTTAAAGAAGATAACTTGTCATCTGCGCCTTTGGAGGGGCTGCTTAAACTTTTCAATATTTTCAATAAAAATCACCGAAAAACAGTCCAATGGACCCTAATTTAAGAAATGTAGGCGAAATATATTAATAATATTTATTCATGTGTTAATATAAATAATTTTTATCGACTACAACAATAGCTGAAAGATTTCCTTACATTATACAACAAAGTCACAGAACTTTGCTTTAACCGATGTGTGGATAACATGAATGAACGGGATTTGGCTCAGCATGAGGTAAGTACTTTTTGCTCTTAGTCCAGAGTAGGTGGATCGTGGATCACTTTGAAATTCGTTGAAGTTGACACTATCCGAAATCAACATGGGTGCCGAATTTTGTCTTGAAAAGTGTGTGCATGTGGATTTAAATTGATTCATATTTCTCGATATATGTAGCTCTAAGGAGAAAGTCCTGCATAAAATAACCGAGTGTCAACGATGCCGGACTGATGAAGCAAATATTTGTGTCCCTAAATTAATCAGTAATAATGGGTTCCTAGACTCGTGTCTATCAATTCTTAATGTAGCCAGGGAACACCAGTACATACTTTCATCTACTGTTTTTGCTAAGACGATACATCTGAGGGCAATGTGATAATGGGAGCCCCAAAAGGAAGGAATTGGAAAACATTTTAAGGTAGTAAGGAAGTACGAATAAGATTATCTGAATAAGGTCCCAAGAGAACTCTTAGTTGTTTAAAAGCACTTTGCTGGCCCCTCTCAGAAAATTATTATATTTATACCAACCTCCGCCGAAGGTCGTCTAATTAGAAACAAATTGTAATTAAAATAAAATTTTGCTCGCTTAGCCCAATTATCCACCTGTTCATAGGAGAAAGTCTGCAATCCCCGGCCGAAGGCCAGCTACTTAAAATAAATCAAGCCTCTGTTGAGACCTCTAGTATGTTGGAGACTAAGGATAACCATAGCGTGAAAGAAATCAAACCCTCCTCACAGTCTGTGGCAATAAAAAGGATGAGATCGTCTGAGGAACACCATCCTATTGCAAAGAAGCCGTCACATTAACATATATCATTCCAATCGGCGGATATATTGGTATATTTCCTTAGACATGGGCCTCAAAAGGTATGTTGAAATCCGTGCGTTTTTGTATTGGCTTCAAAAATTTTTAAGACTTTCTCCTCTGGACCGATATCAAATTACGAAATTTTGATTTCTTCGAAGTAGGAACACTATAATTAATTTGGAAACCCAGAAATAAGCACTTCAGCGAAAGTCTTATCAAATAGCAATCAGTCAATAAAAACCTTAGTTCGATAACCGTGAAGGAATTAGAAAACACTTTAAGGTATTAAGGAAGTACAAATGAAATTATCCGAAAAGAACTCCTATCTTTTTCGAGCAAAAAGGCAGGAAGCTTGTATTCAGTGACTCCTAATGAAATCAAATCCTCTCTCAGCCTGTGGCTATAAAGAGGACACCTATATTCTATCGCAGTCATCAGAGACTATAGTGCTACATCAGTAAATTTCTTAAACGATCCACGATCAACTTAAGTCTTATAATATACAAAAAATAAACAAAAATCTTATTTTATTTGTATATCTTCCAATAGGAAACTTGTGTAAATCGCTGTGTCAACAAATTCGCCTTGTTCAATCAAAATATGATGAAAGTTTATGTTGAGGTGCAATCGGAAATCAATCAAAAACGTATGCAAGAAATCGAGGAGGGCCAAAAGGTAATACAACAGAATCAGGAACAACAACAACAGCAGCAGCCGCAACAAATACAACAGCCACAAACCAATAAGAGCAGCCTTGCTGAAGAAGTAACAAATGCATTAACTCCCACACCTAAATTACTATCATAGATATTTTTTATAAAAAGAAATCTTGTTTATTACCTAAAAGTTAGATGCTAGTTATTTTTTAAAAATTGTTCAATTAAACTTCACTCAAAAAGAAAATGGATGAAATGTGTATCATAGCCTTAATTGGTTTACCAGGAGTGGGTAAAACAACATTCTGTAAATTACTTCTACAAAGCGAGTCACTGTCCTTTAATATATTCTACATTTGTTATGATGATTTCATAAAAATTACACAAGAAAATTTAGTTCAATATAAAGAACAACGTGAACAATTATTAAATTCTTTAGAGACCCTTGTTGCAACATTCAAAACTACCAAAACCCTCGATAAGACCTTAATGCCACATTGTTCAACTTACAAGGACAATGGGAATGACCGCTTATTGATTTTGTGTGATGATAATCATTATTATGGTAGTATGCGTTATCGCCTATATCAAATTGCCCGTAACTATAGCCTGTCATATGGCCAGTTATATTTTAATTGTAGTCTAGAATTGGCTCTGCAGCAAAATGCATTACGAAATGAATTCCAAAGAGTTCCCAATGAGATTATTAAAAAAATGCATAGTAAATTGGAAATACCGGATTCCAAAACGAACTACTGGGAAGAAAATACTTTATCCCTGATTCCACAAAATATTACTAAGGAATATATTTCATTGCATATATTACCATATATTGTTAAACTCTTTGCAGAGCCTTTAAAGCCACTACAAATTCCTGACAAATGTCCCACAAAACAATCTCAGGTCCATGAATTAGATTTACAAATGCGGAAACATATAGGTGTCGTTATTACGAAAATCGATGGGGGAAATGTAAATAAAAAACAAGTTGCTTTACCTATAAATGATCTACGTAAAAATATTCTTAGTGAATGTAAAGGTTTGGAGCAGGTGGAAGATGTCGATATTAATAGATTTTTACAATTATTTCAAGGCCAAGTAGAATCATTTTTGCAAGATCAATCTCTAATGGTACAAAAATGAGAAATATGTAAACATTTATATTTAATAAAGATTTAGATTTAGAAAAAATATTTAAATTCTATTTATTACAGATTATGCTTGGAAAGACTATTTGATATCTAGAGCATATGTTCAGATATCATTCACAGTATTTATTGATGGTCGTGGAAATAGTTTATTGTAAACTTCTATGAAAACTTTATGCTTATGAAGTTGTATATCTTCAAACATATTCTAATATTTGTATTGGTCTGAAAATCTTCAAAATCTGCGACTATTGATCTTAGTCTTGAAAAAATACGTTTTTGGTCAAGAAGTCTTTGAACATATTCCTTACAATCTCCACTTATTGAGGGGAGATCAATTAAAAAACCTAAAATCGTACAAACCGGGATTTTTGTATGGGGCCATTTAAAGCCATGGACTTACGTAGTGGACCAATATTGATAATTTTTGGTAAAAAGGCCCAATAAGAACTCAAAATACCAAAAATGTTCCAAAAAGCGCCGGAATTAAAAACCAGTAAAGAAAGTAGTAAAGTCGGACGGACCCGACTATATTGTACCCATAACCACTTTGGGTATATTCGTCATATGTATCCTAACAGACGTCTCCTTTTGTTTTTACAATAACAAAAGAAAATTAAACAATATCGAATGTTGTTAAAAGTTACAGAATAGCCCTACTGATGAAGTGATTTTCATGAAACTTAACACACATCATTGTAGACTTTATTTAGTACGCTATGCAAATTTCGCGCAAATCGAAAGATATATAGGGACTTTGGTACACCATTTACATTAAATCGGACGAACATATATATGGGAGCTATATCTAAATCTGAACCGATTTTCACGAAACTTAACACACATCATTCTAGGCTTTATTCAGTACGCTATGCCCAATATCGTGCAAATCGAAAGATATATAGGGACTTTGGTGCCCCATTTACAATAAATCAGACGAAAATATATATGGGAGCTATATCTAAATCAGAACCGATTTTCACGAAACTTAACACACATCATTCTAGGCTTTATTCAGTACGCTATGCCCAATATCGTGCAAATCGAAAGATATATAGGGACTTTGGTGCCCCATTTACAATAAATCAGACGAAAATATATATGGGAGCTATATCTAAATCAGAACCGATTTTCACGAAACTTTGCACACATCATTCTAGGCTTAATTCAGTACGCTGTGCCAAATTTCGTGCAAATCGATTGATATGTAGGGACTTTGGTACACTATTTACCTTAAATCGGACGAAAATATATATGGGAGCTATATCTCAATCTGAACCGATTTTTCCCAATTTCAATAGGGTTCGTCCTTGGGCCAAATAGATGAGCTATGCCAATTTTTATCCAATTCGGATCATAAATTCACGCCTGTTTTAGGTACTTGAAAAAATATTCTTTAAAAAATCCACGCCTGTTTTGGGTACTTGAAAAAATATTCTTTAAAAAATTCACGCCTGTTTTGGGTACTTGAAAAAATATTCTTTAAAAAATCCACGCCTGTTTTGGGTACTTGAAAAAATATTCTTTAAAAAATTCACGCCTGTTTTGGGTACTTGAAAAAATATTCTTTAAAAAATCCACGCCTGTTTTGGGTACTTGAAAAAATATTCTATAAAAAATCTAAGCCTAGTGTAGTCCTTGAAAAAATATTCTTTAAAAAATCCACGCCTGTTTTGGGTACTTGAAAAAAATATTCTTTAAAAAATTCACGCCTGTTTTGGGTACTTGAAAAAATATTCTTTAAAAAATCCACGCCTGTTTTGGGTACTTGAAAAGTTATTCTTTAAAAAATCCACGCCTGTTTTGGGTACTTGAAAAGATATTCTTTAAAAAATCCACGCCTGTTTTGGGTACTTGAAAAATATTCTTTAAAAAATCCACGCCTGTTTTGGGTACTTGAAAAAATATTCTTTAAAAAATCCACGCCTGTTTTGGGTACTTGAAAAGTTATTCTTTAAAAAATCCACGCCTGTTTTGGGTACTTGAAAAGATATTCTTTAAAAAATCCACGCCTGTTTTGGGTACTTGAAAAGATATTCTTTAAAAAATCCACGCCTGTTTTGGGTACTTGAAAAGATATTCTTTAAAAAATCCACGCCTGTTTTGGGTACTTGAAAAGATATTCTTTAAAAAATCTACGCCTGTTTTGGGTACTTGAAAAAATATTCTTTAAAAAATCCACGCCTACTATTTTGGGTACATAAAAAATATTTTATAAAAAATCCACGCCTGTTTTGGGTACTTAAAAAATATTCTATAAAAAATCCACGCCTTTTTTGGGTACTTGAAAAAATATTTTTTAAAAAATCCACGCCTACTGTTGGTTACTTAAAAAAATATTCAATAAAAAATCCACGCCTGCTTTGGGTAAAATTCTATAAAAAAAAATATTCTATTAAAAATCTAAGCCTAGTGTAGTCCTCGAAAAACATTATTTAAAAAATCCAGAACCCTGAAAAATATTCTTTAAGAAATCTACGTCTAATATAGGCCTTGAAAAAATAGTAATTACTTCATTATGGATATAAAAATGCCATTCAAAATTTTGTTTATCATGTTTTTAATTTTTTTTATTTGAAGTACATATAAACTACATTTAAATATTCGTATATATACTAAATTCATCATATTGAGTTAAAATGCTTTTTTTGCAATTACGTTTGCTTTTATTTATTTTCTCTATAAACTAGATTTTGTTTTCTATTCATTATATAGGTATATGTTAGAGAATGAGAGCAACTACAAAATACAACAATTGTTTTTTATTCTTGTTTATTTTATAATAGATTCATATTTTTCCATAGTTGTTATTTCGAATCATTTGAGATATGAAAAAAAAAATATTATTGAGCGCAAATAAAAACCCACAGATGGGGGCGGTGGGCAACAAATGAAAATGGGAAAAAATTGCAATGGCAATTGTGTGGAAATGTATAATATTGAATTGTGGAATAAAGCACCAGGTATGGAGGGGGTTAAAAATAATACATTTTGTTATTGTTTTAAATAATTTTGTAACAATTTGTGTTGCAGTCTCATCTGCGAGTACTTTTATTTGCCATGGTTTTCTGTACATCTATGTATTATTCATTTATTTTTTTATGTTGTTTTTGTTTTCGAAAAATGGAGTATATTAGTTTTGAGAGAGAGTATTCTTGAGATTATATTGGAAAATTTGCTTAGTTCATACAAACAGTAATATATTTCGTTTTTTTTTTATTTTTCTTCTTTAATACTACAAATATTTTTACTCTTACGCCTATAGACCACAATGTTATTGGTTTTGTTGTCAACAAAACAAACAAATAAAAAATAAAGAGAGATTCAAACAAAGCGGTCTATAAGGATAAGAGGCTTACTTTGATATTGGTTCAAGATAGATTTCGTCAGACTTTATAGCATTTCTGAAATCTTTCCGAACACTGTTTAAAAAATGGCAATGTTTGTGTAGTTTGTAGTTAGTATATTAAATTTAGAAAAAAAACTTAGTTTATTTTATTGCGCCTTAGGTAAAGAAATAAAATTGAAGAGTTTATGTTACTTCAAGGTGGAGAATTCCCCAAAGCAAAACACATTTTCAATTTGTAAACGTATAAATCTCTTCCATTTGAGGGAAGTAAAATGCACTTGTTTTGTTTTTCTTTCGTATTTTCTTTGGCAATGTCTAAATTGATAAAAAAAAATTTGCACGCTTTGAAAAAAATGTGTGTTTGTATATAGTTTTTTTGTAAAAAATAGTCTTTTGGTTTGGAATAATTGTAAACCAATCACTAATGGGTTTAGGTAACTAAGAATTTCATTCCCCGCCACAACATTTATTTTCCATAAATTTTTGTTATGGATAAGGTAATTCTTAGTTAGCCAAGTCTTTTTCTGTATAATAAAATAAAACTGAAATTAATTCGAAACTGAAATATGTAAGATCAAAGACCAACAAGGAGAGAAAACAAATTTGGAATATATAGCAATAATTAGACATACCACAAAGGAACAACCAGGGGCGGCAAAAAAATGCGGTTTGTTGGTCCATCAATAAACTTAAAACTTAATTTCTGATAATAGTACACCCTACATGTTTTTTGGAGCACTCATTTATATATATTGCGCAAGAACCATCTAAAATAATAATATTTTTAATAATAATTATATTCATGTAAATATGGGCTAAAAAATATTTTCTTTTTCTTGGGATAGGGGAGGAAGAGGGTCTTTTTTTGTTTAGAATTTTTCTTGGTTGTTTCTAAAACACATCACTTGTTCGCTCACTAGTGTAGTGTTAATACTACGGATTTCACGCTGACCAACGTGACTTTTGCAAATCGATTTGTCCCTCCAATGTTTTGGCCAAATATATAACAAATAATTGTATTAATGCTATACCCAAGGCAATACCGGCAATGGCATAGAGATTCCGTTCGGCCCAGACACGTACTATTTCAATACAGCCACTAGTCCAGATGCGTTTGCTGGCAGCAGCCACAGAATGGGCCTGTACCTCATAACCACACATAATGTTGACCAAACCGGAACTTATATCGGTGGCATTTATACAACAGCTATAGGGTACACCACATTTTTCCACCGACGGGGAAGAGCAATTGAAGTATTCATTTTTGCCTGAAACCAAAAAAAAGGTTGATTAGAAAATTTAAAAAAATAAATGAAACTCCTAAATACTTACTCCAATCCTGATATCCCGCATTACTCAAACCGCAACACTTAAACTCCTGCTGGGCAAAATCAATGAAATTCTGTAAATCGGGATCATCACGATACGAATGGATTATTTTATCCGTAAATGTATCCTCTAGAAATGAATTCATATTTTGTGGAAATACAAAACCCATTATGGCAATGGCCATTTCCATAAGGAAAAACAGCAGCAAACACATTGAATAGAATTTCAGCAGGCAGGTATTTTCCCGTAAAGCACCCAAACAACCGGCAAAACTGACAACAAAAACCACAACACCAGCTATCATCAGCACCAATGAGATATTCAATATGACATCATAGAAACTTTCCAAACGCACCGACCCTGTCGATTCCCATTTATCTTTGAAGGCATACAGGCCAATGGCCAGTAGCAGGCCACCAAATAGCCAAAATATGAAATTCAACATGAATATCATGTATTTGACACATGAACTCACATATGTGAAGTTCTGAGAAATTCTAGGATGCATGTCGCGCACTTCGATTCCACAATATCCTCCACTGCCTATGTGATGTCTGTAATTGCTCATCGGTGGTGGTATCGGTGTGTATCTCAATGTTACGATTCTTTTTCGGAAAACACAACAGATGGATGTTATTACCTCGCGTCTTCTTCTAATTGGATAATGCTTTCGAAGCTATTTGTCGTATCCCGTCCTCGTTTGTTATTTATAATATGGGACTTCTCTGCACTGTGTTTTTCTACTTGACTAGACAATGCTTTGTTTGCTACGCCTTCTTTTTTCGTTGATGTTTCTCCTTTTGCAATGAAGGCTATCCGACAACCTGTATTTGAGATTCGAATTTGTGTTCACATCATTATTAGTGCAGCATTACATATTAGCGTCGTTTATATTCGGTATTTTATTCAGTTTTTTGCAAGTTTTTTATAGAATTTTTGTAAAAATTTCAATTTTTTCGTTTGTAAATGAATATCTCGGCTGGAGTTTCTTTTTTGTTTCTGATATGTCAAACTATTTTGACACATCCATGTGGCAACACGGTTAATGTAGGAAAGAGTGATGCCAACCACATGTGTTACAATTGAAATGAAAGCGTTTGGCGGTAGGCGTTGCATGCCAATGGCGTTTCATTTGATTTAAAATGATGAATCTGTTGAAGGGATGTACGTGAATAGAGTGGCCCATTTTTCGACATTGGCCCCATAAAAATATTCTGCAGCATTTTAGGTACTGTCTTGGTCGCTGGGACCTTTTTGTACCGAAGTGATTGTAAGTTTGTTTTCCGTGTTCTTGTTGGTTACAGAACTTCTTTAGATTTGTTTTTTAAAATAGCCCCAATATTAAATGTCCCGGTCCATTTTAAGAATATTCATTTTTGACATAGCTCGCGTTCCATTTTCGGTATTTTGAAAATCAAATAGGTTCTAATTTGGTATTTCGTTTTCTTAAAGGATGAAGAACTTCCTACACGTCAATTTTCAATGTAAGTCTATATTTACGCATTTTGAATCCCCAAACTCAAGATGTAGGGTAAAAAAGGATAATCATAGCCGATTTCTAATATTTGTCCTTAAGATTTTGGTAATACTTTGAACCCTAAGGCAATTTGGAGCTGCATGTATGATAAAGAGATGTTTTGGTTGCGGATATTTTCATATTTCTTGCATGATTTCGGCTAAGTATGGAAAATAGACATTAAAATAGAGATTCAGACGCCGAATGAAACCCAAAGAGTTAATGGTCTGAAAATCAGGATCATCAAATATTCCAAATATTCCAAGATTTTGCCTGTAATGCACGAATTACTTTGTTGCATCAATATCACTATCGGAAGTCCATAAGAATTTTATGCTCACATTTTGGCCTCCACAACATCCTCAAAGTTAAATTGGCCCTTTCAATCTCGTAATTAATTCTTAAAAAATAGATTCTACGACTTCGTGGTGATATTGATTTGTTGGTCAATTATTAATACCAAATACCAAACGCATATGTACTTCGAGATGTGCCCGCTGGGCCTCTACACCAAACATCCAATGTCAATTCACTAAAGAAAAACAAAAGATAGATTCTACGAGGTCGGGTGGTTTTCGGGCTGACAGTTGTTGGCCAATAACTAATACGAAATGCCAAAAGTATATCTACTTCGAGGGGTGCAAACAACCCATGTTTAGATCACTAATTTCGCTTAAAGAAAAAATTAAATTCGGTTATGGAAATGTTATTTACTACACCTTTAAAATACCGAAAATGGAACTATATCAAAACATGGACCCACATTTATATAATTCCTAAAATAAAGCGGGATATGTGTGATGTGTCCAAACATGGACCCACATAGACAATTCCCTAAAAATTATATTTCTTAGTCTCTAAGGACTAGAAATGTCAAATTATAGCTCTAAAGCGATTTAAGGGATTTCGACGTAAAGGAGAATTTCCTATAAAAATTTAATTCGAATTATATGATCTTCAATAATTCTTTAGGTTCTGAAAATTTTATTTAAGAGAACCACCCCAATATCAATATTAGTCACATTTTTGTTGCTATCAATACTACAATCATAAAGATAAATTTGGGACTGTGAGACCATTGGCTCGGCTGATGAGCTTCGAAGGCAGAACACTCAGCTGTTGCTGCTCCGTAGTAATCGGTGTGTTGTCAATAAATCCATTGAGAGTGTTCATAGTTCAATGTGAACGACGAATATTTTTAGATCAGCTACTTCATTGCTAGACGACCACGACGACGACCAGAACTATTTTGTTTTTCCATGGAAGTCTTCTTACCATTGCAATGAGAGAGATGAACTAATGTGAATGCCAACCGGCAGGTTGTTGTGTGTGATAAAGCTAGAGGGGAACTAAAAAAATACCGTCTGCTCTCGCTCTGTTCTACTGATAAGAGACCATCAAAAAATTGTCTCAATTGGCTGCCTCATTATTTAACATCGCTGGATTACGGACGAAAGGGTTAGCTGTGATTCGGCTAGGGATTATCGCGAATTATGAATATTTTATTTCGTTTGATCGTGTTCTGTTGTGATCCTTTGGGATTATGGCGTCGTTTTCTTATCCAACCTGCCAAAATTGTGAGCCACAATATTTACGATCGCCTCAAGGCAAAGGCAGATCAAAAGGTCGATTCTATGCGTGAATTGGTGCTGCGAATTGGTTTGGTGGCTTTTGTTGTGGCACTGATAATTTGGGCGGCAGTGTTTATGTATGCAGCGTTTTATTATGCCTACATGCCGTCGATATCACACACCCGTCCCGTGCACATGCAATTTAAGTGAGTTTTTAAGCAAATAAAGATCGAAGTAAGGTTTAAATTAAATAAAATCTGTGAATGTCTTTTCCAGAACATGTTTGGACACCAGCTCCCCCTGCACCTTCCCCCATGCCCATGTCTCCCTAACGAAGAAACAACAATTACTTATGGTTGGCCAATCATATCGTGTTATTGTACAATTGGAAATGCCCGAATCACCACAAAATTTAGATTTGGGCATGTTTATGGTTTGTGGAGAAATGCGTGATATTGAATCAATGTTACGCGGCCATTCATGTCGTTCGGCAATGATGCGTTATCGTTCACCATTGATACGAACGATATCAACATGGGCCCTAAGTCCCCTATATGTATTGGGTTTCCGTGAAGAATTCCAAAAAGTATCTGTAGAGATATTTTCAAATTATTTGGAACAAAAACATCATCCCATAACGGATGTCTATGTCGAGGTACAATCACAAAAGATACAATTCTATACGGTATCGCTACATATCGTGGCCGATTTTACAGGTATGTATGAATGTCATTTTATGAGTTCAACGTAAGGAGAGAGAGAGAGAGAGAGAAGGAAATATACCCCTTGATCATTAAACAAATTCCTAGTTCTAAGGAATTCGGTCTCAATTTTAAGTTCGAATAGAACGTGAAGATATTTATCTGAAATTCACCATCCGAGATCTAATGAATACCAGTTCTGTTTTCTTTTGATATAAGACTCCCGATTTTTAATATGTCTACTTTTTAGGATATTCCGATGTTTACCTTTTAATTTGTAGGTTAGATTTCGAAGAATTTTATGGAATCGCCACAGATCTAATTGCAGATTTTTGTTCATTTTTATCTATAACCTCCGATTTTTCTTTCATGAATTCGGGGACAGGGTATTCAAACATTTGCTTTTTAATTTGTAGGTTAGGTTGAGAAGATTTTTGATTGAATCACAAGAAAAAACATATAGCCTTTCATTTTATACTTGGTCGACTTTCCTTTTGCCTATAACCTCAAATTGTTCTTCCATGAAGTTAGGTTAAGTTGAAAAAGGGACAGATGTCTTTTTGGCAAAATTTTTTTTACAGAAATATTGAGCTTTTTATAAAATAAGGTAAGAAGGTTACATTTTAGCAATGTCCGACCGATAGAACTTGCAATATTTAAGATAAAGCTTAGAAATAGCTATTGAAAACGGGTTATTGGTTCAGGTTTTGTTACATCTCCCAAATAACCGTGGCGCCATATTTCGATGTTACAAAGCCGTAGTTCCAGGGTTTTGCAGAACGATAAATATCTTTGTAGAAAACTTTTAGGCCCATGTTTTATCTTTGTCCCCGTATAAAGTACTATTCATCCCCATTTCTGGAATTTGTAAGTTCCCCTAGGCGAATTTTCCACCCGATGTGCTGTAATTTGGCATTCGGGATCTTTATTTGAAAACATTTTTCAACATGCTTGGACATGGTCGTCCATACAGTGGTCCCAGCTATTTTCGTTGTGTAAATAAATTTTATCGACATAGCCTCCATATTTTGGCTTCGTCTCCATATAAAGGTCTCATTTTCGATATTTGTATGGTACATTTTCCATTTCAAAGAGGTTGTAATTTTTTCGGCATATCCCCTCCATTATAGTGGATCCAGCCTATTTTAGCTATACTTAGCCGAATTTCGCTGCCTTAAAAAAGCCTCTATATAAAGATCAAGATCGCTTTTAGGCAGTTTTAAATAAACCATTTCCAGTCAAGCATCTAGAAACCCCCATTTGAACGATTTCCTGCTATTAACATCTTTTTATTCTCTGTTCCAGGTCTACGTTATATTATGCACAACTGGCCAGTTATGTCGGCCATAGTGGGTAAGTATTTTAAATCAAATTGCATAAAAATGTTTTCTAATATTCTTCTCCCTCAATATTTTCAGCAATAAGCACAAATCTCTTCTTCATATTGGCCATATTTTTATTGAGCTGGTATCATTGGTCCAATGCCACATGGATTACTAATTTACAAAGGAAATACGAACAGTTTACCCAAAAGGTACAACAGAAAGCTGGACGTGCTTTGGAGTCGCCAAAATATGCCTCTGGCAATCTGCAAGATGATGATGAGTTGAGTTTCCTCAACGATGACAAATCCCGAGATTCAGAAGATATCGATGACATAAGTGGACGCAAAGAGGAAAAGGCAGAATATGAAAAGGGTGCACAAAGAGAACGAACTCTACGACAAAGGAAAGTTTAAGAGAATGAGGCTTTAGCTTTTCTAAACTAAAAAGACAATAATGGATTTTTTTAAAGACTATAATTATTTGTAAATATTTTGTAAAAAAATAACTAGGAAATAAGCTAACATTTATAATGTTATTTATGAACAAAAGAATCAAAATAATACAAATGCATTTTTATTAAGAAAAAAACTATTTTGTTATTATCGATGCGCAATAGCAAGAAATTCACTTTTGGCCTTGCTCAAGTGCTATAATCGAATAATAATAAAACGAAACTTGGCCAAAATAACATTGATAAATGGCATAAAACAACATGTGGACAATACCCACGAATAATTTTGGTGGTTTTCCTAAATATATATAGATTTGCTATTGATAACAATCCCATTGGAAAGCATAGATAAGACAAATTAATTTTGTTTTTTTCGGGTGTTAAACACCACCTATTTTTAATCTCTTTTTATTTCACATTGTTGTTGTTGGTTTTTATTAGAAACGGCTAACACTATTTCAAATGCTTTGATAGATTGGTTAGAAAAAAAAAGAAATTATTTTATAATATCTTTAAAAATACACCACACTGCGTAGACTTTTACCCTCATGCATTAAATCAAACGCCTCATTGATCTTATCCAATTGCATGGTATGGGTAATGAACTCATCGACCAACAAATCTTTTTTCATATAATCCTCGACCAATTTGGGGACATCACGGCCACTCTTCCAGCCACCAAAAGCTGAACCTTTCCATGTGCGACCCACAACCAATTGGAAGGGACGTGTGGAAATTTCTTGTCCCGAAGCGGCAACACCAATAATTACCGAAGTACCCCAACCTTTGTGGGTGGCTTCCAAAGCAGTACGCATGGTATTTACATTGCCGATACATTCAAAAGTGTAATCGAAGCCGCCATCCATTAAATCGATTAAATAATTTTGTAGCGGGCCTTTATCTTCAACATCCTTGGGATTGATGAAATCGGTAACACCGAATTTCTTGGCCAATTCAAATTTGCTGGGATTAATGTCAATGCCATAGATTTTCGAGGCGCCAGCCTTTTTGCAACCCAAGGCAACGGCCAAGCCAACAGCGCCAAGACCCCAGATGGCACAAGTACTGCCAGGTTCAACCTATGGACAAGAGAAAAAGGAATATAAGATGATTTAAAAACTATTTTAAATTACAATTTACCTTGGCAGTGTTAAGAGCAGCACCATAACCAGTTGGAATGCCACAGCCTAGCAAACATACCTTATCCAAAGGAGCTTTTTCATCGACCTGAAAATTTGAAATTTGAATAAATTTAATTTAGTCTCTAAAATAAGCTGTGGGGAGTCTTAATACACGAGCTGTAGGGGGTCTTTTATAGACGACCTGAAGGAAATTTGTTAAAGAGAGCTGAGGGGAGTCTTTATAGATGACCTGAAAGTAGTCTCTTACGACGAACTGAATGGATGAGTTGAAGGGAGCATTAATAGGTGAGCTGAAAGTTGTTGCTGTAGCAGATTATACTGCTGTGTATTTCTCCTTAATATGACTATGATTTTAACTGTACGTTCAAAAAGGCTACAACCTGTATCGGCTGTGTCCAAAGTGAAGATTGGTTGGATGAGTGGGTTTAGCTGGGTAGTTGAAAAGGTGGACCATTACCACATGCCGGGCCAGATGTTATTCACCGCGCCGTCAATTCGTGCCCAACATGAATTGAAGCGGCTACACCATCCAGATCTCAATGGTGCCAAGACCACTCTGGTTTGCCGAGGTAGCTGCTGCTCTTCTGCAGCTATCGTAGCGGGTGATCACTGAGGATTGTATTCACATGACATTATGTAATTGCCTCTACTGCATACGAGTGAATTCGACTCAATCCTGTTTGATAGGCCTGAGTGGGTTTAGCTGGGCAGTTGAAAAGCTGTAGCGTGTCATGTGGACCATTACCACATGCCGGGCAGATATTATTGACCGCGCCGTCAATTCATGCACAATATGAATTGAAGCGGCTACACCATACAGATCTAAAGACTCCCTTTTGTACCTTTGGATCTCTCTCTCTCTCTTTCCAGATCATGTAGATCCTTCCTGACATGGCTAGGTGGTGGGTGCCTATCCATTAGGTAATGATTTGGATGACTACTTCTCAAACACCTAAGCAGGTATTGCATCGACATCTTCTTGTGTTGATGCACAGGAAGGATCTTAGACTCCTCATGTAAGTTGTCAATTGGACCTTTTGCAGACCTCAGGGTGGCATTTTGGCAGGATTGAAGACTTTTCCACTGCGTTGCACTAACGTTAGCAGAGAGCGGCCTATTGCTGTGTATTTCGCTAACAAGGTCTTTTGTCAACATTCAAGTGCTGCCGGCTAGTGACTTGAGAATCTTATTCCTGCTCCTGATCATATCGCAAATAGCTCTCATTAAAAACAGGAGATACCATTACATTAGCCACAAAAAATAATTGTGGATAGTTTTTTTTTACAGTTTGGTTTTGCTTGTAATTTTCCATATCATTTAAAATAGTTTATGTGCGTGAAGATAAATTCGTTTTTAACTAGCAAAGACACAAACCAGTATGTGTGGTTGTGTTCAGTATAACAGTTTTGTAATACGGTATAACAGAATTCACGGAAAATAAATTCTGATTTATTACGAAATTATATATATTTAAATTATATTCAGAATATATTTTCATTTTGTGAATATGAGTTATGATGTATTATGATAAAAAGATGTGTAAAAAACAAATAATATTGTCAAAAATAAAGAGAAAAAAACAATATATGTTTTAACCCACTGTGCGGGATCTATAAAAGATACGCCTGATCTGAAGGTACCGTATGAAATGTCTCCTCTATTTTTAGAAAATATTTTTTTCAGAATTTTCTGACACAGACATTTTGAGAAAAAAATTTTTGAAAAAAAATATAATTTTAAGGGACATTATATTCAGAGAACCACTGTGCGGGATCTATAAAAGATACGCCTGATTTGAAGGTACCTTATGAAAGCTGGTCTCCTCTACTTTTAGAAAATATTTTTTTCAAAATTTTCTGACACAGAAATTTTGAGAAAAAATTTTTTGAAAAAAAAAAATATAATTTTAAGGGGCATTATATTCAGAGAACCACTGTGCGGGATCTATAAAAGATACGCCTGATCTGAAGGTACCTTATGAAAGCTGGTCTCCTCTACTTTTAGAAAATATTTTTTTCAGAATTTTCTGACACAGAAATTTTGAGAAAAAAAAATTTGAAAAAAAAATATAATTTTAAGGGACATTATATTCAGAGAACCACTGTGCGGGAACTATGAAAGATACGCCTTATCCGAAGGTACCTTATGAAAGCTGGTCTCCTCTACTTTTAGAAAATATTTTTTTCAGAATTTTCTCACACAGAAATTTTGAGAAAAAATTATTTGAAAAAAAAAATATAATTTTAAGGGGCATTATATTCAGAGAACCACTGTGCGGGATCTATAAAAGATACGCCTTATCCGAAGGTACCTTATGAAAGCTGGTCTCCTCTACTTTTAGAAAATATTTTTTTCAGAATTTTCTGACACAGAAATTTTGAGAAAAAATTTTTTGAAGAAAAAAAAAAAATATAATTTTAAGGGGCATTATATTCAGAGAACCACTGTGCGGGATCTATAAAAGATACGCCTTATCCGAAGGTACCTTATGAAAGCTGGTCTCCTCTACTTTTAGAAAATATTTTTTTCAGAATTTTCTCACACAGAAATTTTGAGAAAAAATTTTTTGAAAAAAATATATAATTTTAAGGGACATTATATTTAGAGAACCACTGTGCGGGATCTATAAAAGATACGCCTGATTTGAAGGTACCTTATGAAAGCTGGTCTCCTCTACTTTTAGAAAATATTTTTTTCAGAATTTTCTGACACAGAAATTTTGAATTTTTTTTAAACGTATCGTTAAGGGCTACAAAACGAATTTAACTAGCAAAGACACACAGCAGTATGTGGCTTGTGCTAAGTATGTACAGTAAGTACTGTATGCAGTATAACAAAGTCAGAGGAGAAAATGAATTCGGTATTTTTTTTTTTTTTTTTTTGAAATAATATATTTATTTTATATTCATAATATATTTTCATTTTGCTATTAGAAAATATTTTATTTATAAATTTCTGAAACAGAAACTTTTAGAAAAAAAGTTAATATATATATATATATATATATATATAATTTTGAAGGACATTATATTCACAGAACCACTGAAAAAAATATATAATTTTAAGGGGAAGAACCACTATAAAAGATACGCCTGATCTGAAGGTACCGTAAGAAAGCTTGTCTCCTCTATTTTTAGAAAATATTTTTTTCAGAATTTTCTGACACAGAAATTTTGAGAAAAAAATTTTTGAAAAAAAATATATAATTTTAAGGGACATTATATTCAGAGAACCACTGTGCGGGATCTATAAAAGATACGCCTGATCTGAAGGTACCGTATGAAAGCTGGTCTCCTCTACTTTTAGAAAATGTTTTTTTCAGAAATTTCTGACACAGAAATTTTGAGAAAAAAAATTTTGAAAAAAATATATAATTTTAAGGGACATTATATTCAGAGAACCACTGTGCGGGAACTATGAAAGATACGCCTTATCCGAAGGTACCTTATGAAAGCTGGTCTCCTCTACTTTTAGAAAATATTTTTTTCAGAATTTTCTGACACAGAAATTTTGAGAAAAAAAGAAATTTTAGATGAAAAAAATATATAATTTTAAGGGACATTATATTCAGAGAACCACTGTGCGGGAACTATGAAAGATACGCCTTATCCGAAGGTACCTTATGAAAGCTGGTCTCCTCTACTTTTAGAAAATATTTTTTTCAGAATTTTCTGACACAGAAATTTTGAGAAAAATTTTTTTGAAAAAAATATATAATTTTAAGGGGCATTATATTCAGAGAACCACTGTGCGGGATCTATAAAAGATACGCCTGATCTGAAGGTACCGTATGAAAGCTTGTCTCCTCTATTTTTAGAAAATATTTTTTTCAGAATTTTCTGACACAGAAATTTTGAGAAAAAAATTTTTGAAAAAAAATATATAATTTTAAGGGACATTATATTCAGAGAACCACTGTGCGGGATCTATAAAAGATACGCCTGATCTGAAGGTACCGTATGAAAGCTGGTCTCCTCTACTTTTAGAAAATGTTTTTTTCAGAAATTTCTGACACAGAAATTTTGAGAAAAAAAATTTTGAAAAAAATATATAATTTTAAGGGACATTATATTCAGAGAACCACTGTGCGGGAACTATGAAAGATACGCCTTATCCGAAGGTACCTTATGAAAGCTGGTCTCCTCTACTTTTAGAAAATATTTTTTTCAGAATTTTCTGACACAGAAATTTTGAGAAAAAAATTTTTGAAAAAAAATATATAATTTTAAGGGACATTATATTCAGAGAACCACTGTGCGGGATCTATAAAAGATACGCCTGATCTGAAGGTACCGTATGAAAGCTGGTCTCCTCTACTTTTAGAAAATATTTTTTTCAGAAATTTCTGACACAGAAATTTTGAGAAAAAAAAATTTTGAAAAAAATATATAATTTTAAGGGACATTATATTCAGAGAACCACTGTGCGGGAACTATGAAAGATACGCCTTATCCGAAGGTACCTTATGAAAGCTGGTCTCCTCTACTTTTAGAAAATATTTTTTTCAGAATTTTCTGACACAGAAATTTTGAGAAAAAAATTTTTTTGAAAAAAATATATAATTTTAAGGGACATTATATTCAGAGAACCACTGTGCGGGATCTATAAAAGATACGCCTGATCTGAAGGTACCGTATGAAAGCTTGTCTCCTCTATTTTTAGAAAATATTTTTTTCAGAATTTTCTGACACAGAAATTTTGAGAAAAAAATTTTTGAAAAAAAATATATAATTTTAAGGGACATTATATTCAGAGAACCACTGTGCGGGATCTATAAAAGATACGCCTGATCTGAAGGTACCGTATGAAAGCTGGTCTCCTCTACTTTTAGAAAATGTTTTTTTCAGAAATTTCTGACACAGAAATTTTGAGAAAAAAAATTTTGAAAAAAATATATAATTTTAAGGGACATTATATTCAGAGAACCACTGTGCGGGAACTATGAAAGATACGCCTTATCCGAAGGTACCTTATGAAAGCTGGTCTCCTCTACTTTTAGAAAATAAATTTTCTGACACAGAAATTTTGAGAAAAAATTTTTTGAAAAAAATATATAATTTTAAGGGACATTATATTCAGAGAACCACTGTGCGGGAACTA